GGGCTATCAAGGATCAAGGATTTTTATTTATCATTGTGCAAGTGGGTTATACAAGTGCAACAAAATTTGGCAGCTGCATCCGTAGTAATATAAATAACATTAAATGGCTAAACAAAGTACAATAACTATAGTGTAGAAACATATGACAAAGGAGTATATATCCATGGAAATTCACTGGGAAATATTCAATAAATAAGCACTTCTGTGATGTAATCATGTAAATGACAGATTTGAAGGTGCTGCACTGTAGAGTTAAGAAAGAAGTTTTAAGGTTCCTTAATAATACTGTAGAAAGGTCAATCAGTCACAGCAGCATCAGTGTTGAGACGGTAAAAATTGTTGACTGGGGGGTGGTATCCCGTTGGGTAGGCAGGTCATTTGTTTAGGTGGGCACTGCCCACTCCTATGCCTACCCCAGTGCCCACTCCTATGCCCACCCCCGTGACCACTCCTATGCCCACCCCCATGCCCACTCCTATGCCCACCCCCGTGCCCAGCCCAGTGCCCACCTGCAGTCAGCCTCGCCCTCTGTGCTCATAGTGATTTTAATTATTTATTTCCTCCATACTATCATTATAAACGTTTAACGCTTTTACAGGAGATTGCAGGTCCTCCCTATATTTCCTCTAGATTTCCAGTGTCCCTAAGGTGCCCATTGTGTGTGCAGGGATGTATTACACTACATTACCCAGAAATACATACAGTGCATTTTCTATGGCAGTCTGGGGGAAGAACTGCTCACCCACAGATGGGTTTGGGCTCTCGTATTTCTGTACCGCTGAAGACAGAACACTAAACTCTACTCTTCCAGCCAGCCATGCTACCTGACAGTGCCCTGACGATCTGCTCCTTCTTCCACTCCCAGGGCTGCTCGTACTCGGCGGACGGTCGCGGGTCCAGCTCGGGCCGGGAGGCCAGGATGCAGACCGCCCCGGCCTCCTCTTCTGCACCTCCTTCATACGGTGTGTCGTAGATTTGCAGGGCCGTGGGTCTGACGTCCTCGGCCGCCTCCTTGCCTCCCTCGAGGAGGGCAGACATCTTCAGGAGATCTTTGGAGCCCCTCCGTCGTATTTCTGTGGGGTACAGACGCGCATGCATTGCACCAGAGTTTGCAGAAATGCATTGATTGAGCACCACTGCAGTTTTTATTTATTTATTTATTTATACTTTTTTTATTTCAGTTCAAGCAAATGTTTTCTTATACTTTGAGTTTTCGTTAATGATAACAGCCCTGGTGCAGACATGCGTGCATTTCACCGCAGTGCACAGAAATGCTTCAAATGAGCACCGTTGCAGTTTGTAGCCCTTCCCGTTACGGCTGACACGTTATATCATATCATTTTAATCCATTACACTTCAGTAAGTACCCACTGAATCTGTCAGTGCAGCCAAACCAAACCTCGGGCTGCTGTTTAACACGGGGTGGGGGGGCGACAGGATTTCCCACTGGGATGGCATGCCCAGCCCAGACAAGCAGAGCTACAACTGAGTACAACTGTAATTAAAATACAAGGTGTCTAAGCTACAGCACCTCCCAGTCCCCAGCATCTCCAAGTGACTCTATATTTCTGCTCTTGTTTAACACCTGCAAGCCAAATTTGACAAATAAAATCAGTCATGTGGGAGGTGGAACAGAACAGAATCAAGAGCAGAAAGAATTAAGAAGAGCTTCATCCCACAGGCTATAATGTACACAAACAGTCACCGAACATAAAACCAAGATGCCTCATCTTCCTCTTCCACAAATACTATAAATACTATACATATATAATCTGTATTTGAATTGGTTACTTCTACAACATATATTTACATTCATTCTATGGGTCATCATTTACATACTGTATAATGTACTCCTACATTCCATAATTTATGTATGTTTATCCCATATACCTTACTTGTAAATATATATTTTTTTGTATATATTCACATTTTTTTGGCCCAAGAGTTTTTTTTTTACATTTTATTTGTACAGTTTAGCTTGTCCACAGAGGTGCATTTCTCAGTATTGCCTGCATACATGCGACAAAACTCTTGACTTGCCTTGAAAAGTGGCCACAGGACCACCGGCTTGTACCACCAAAGATGTAACATTTCAGGTTATCAAGAGTTCATCTCTAGCACATATTCGAATACTGTTTGAACACATTTACAAATAGACTGCATCGGTGTACAGGAAGGTGCTGAGCCAGCAGCTGACCGGCTGTGGGGCTGTTCCTGGACGGCCTCAGCTGAGGAAGCTGGCGTGAGGCGCCAGGACGCGTAACCGAGCTGTTTGCTTCCCGGGTGACTCATTTCCAGCAGCTAGAGGCCAGGCGCCCTGACCACGCGTGGGAAAGGCATGCCGGACTTGGCCGGGGACAGGAAAGACCTGCGCTGACTGGTAACTAGCATGGAAGGTGCTCAGGGTGCGGATGGTGGGCGTGACTGGTAGACTTTACTGATGTTCTTTTGTATCATCGGTAGCTATCGGTAGCTAATAACGTCAGTCTATTCGGAAAAAAAAAATTGCCAGATAATCAACATAACTCCATAGAATCCTGACACTGCACTATACCACCAACAACCACCTTCAGCTCCCATACTTACAGTGCTACCAACAAGGTAGCGATCAGTGCTGTGCTCAGTGACGTCTAGAAGGCTGTACTGAGGCAGTCGATTAGCTCAGATCGTGTGATAGTACCACTAGCTAGCTAGGCATGGCTACGGGTGTGAGTTCGTAACTCGAGCTCGGAAATTTCAAGCGAACTTAAAAATTGCCCTCGACTCTCGTTATTCATACGCCTCGTATTTGGTCAGAAATCCATGAAGCAATTCATTTTTCTCCTCCATAGAGGACATTATGTTTTTGCGCACATCTCTAAAACTATATATGCCACATTATTAAGACCTGTTGCTCCTTAAATTGGACAGTGAAAACTTTAAGACGACCTCATGTGAGGGTGAGGGTGTGACCTTGGCATTTTCCTCTTACAGTCAAACCAATATTCCAATCAACATTGAAGACTTTTTCCCTGGACCTTAAAAAGATGCAAAAACTCGCAAAAAAAGATGCGAAAACTCGCAAGTCAAAGACTTGTATCATGAGGGAAACCCATATTAAAGATGTACTTTTCTGAACACTACAATGGCACTTATTAGCCGCTATATTATTGTAACCCCACAATGTCACTGGCCACTTAATCTGTGTCATGGCCATTGTGTGTGAGCTCCCACTGAAACAATGGCGTGACGAGTTGAAAGGTCGCTGGAGCACGTGACTGACTGGCTGACAGATCGACCCTTTTCCTGACTTCTTGAAAACTACTGAAGGGTGCAGGGGTGGGAGTTTTCAGATCGGGGGGGGGGGGGGGGGGGGGGGGGGGGGGGGGGGGGGGGGGGGGGTGGCATGTAGTAGAAGGGGAACAGCAGGGGGCAATTTCCTATTCAGAGAATGGGTCCAGGAAACAGAAACAGGAAACCGGAAGTAGACGCAGGAAACTGCGCCCATTGTCCCAGCACAACATCATCGCCTGGGCAACCGCTTGGGGACGTGCGCCAGTGAGACGCCCACAATCTGCTGATTATTTTTTTTTTATTGCTCTCTCTCTCAATATATTTCTAATAATTCTCCACTTACCTCTTTCCATGTATTTTTTATGATTATTACTCAAATTCCTTTCTTTTACTGCTAGTTCCCACAGTCTTCCTACAACATCAGCAAACACCCATACTATTGTCCACCTAAGTCAAGCGCTACAATGTAAAGAAATGACAAGTATCACTCACAATTAGGATGGTACAATGTATCAACATAAATGAGTAACACTCCCGATTGAGACAAACCCAGAAAAGTGCATGAAAACCAGTGCTCACTCCCACACACACACACACAAAAATCTATCCTAACGAAAGCTCCCGATGAATACCTGTGATAATCTGCTGGGCGTCATAGGGCTCCATGTATCCATCATTCTCTGCGATCCTCTCCGTCTCTCTCTGCTCCCTGGTCTTCTGTGCATCAAAGGGGTCTGCATAGTCCTCCAGAATGATCAACTGGAAGACAGAGGAAACAGCATTCATCCATCCATCTTCCAACCATCGATCCAGTACAGGGCCGCAGAAAACCCCGAGCCAACCTCAGGCAGCCCAGGGCACAAGGCAGGGGGACACCCTGGAAAGGATGCCAGACCATAACAGTTGACCTGATTCACCTAACTTCATGTTTCTGGACCATGGGAAGACACCTGTACAGCAAGGGGAGAGAATGCAAAGTCCACACAGTCTGAGCAGTAGTGAGATTCAAACCCCCAACTTCGGAGACACAAGGTACCCCAGAAGAAGCATCTGAGTACCAGATTTATTACTATTTGAATGTCAATGACCTCATGGCCATTAATAAAACATTATCACTTTGAGGAGAGGTATCACTCCAGGGTTTTCTAATGAAAATTCCAACCACAGAAAATGCCATCATGGATAGAGGAACTTTCTCCACACAGAATGGCAGAAGCGGCATGGAAATCGATTTGTGTGCAGGAACCGAACACTCCCTTTGAGAACATGCAAAGTCAAATTGGTGATTTCTCCCCTCAGTCTATCGGGCTTTGACAGAACACCTAAAGGCCTGCAGCCCCCTGAATGAGACACGTTTGCTACTGGTGGCTGTACAGCAGTATCCTGTGTCTTGCAATGCAGCTTCTGAGGGACTGTTGGAGGAACCGGTTCCTGCGCCCACACAAAATAAATTAAAGATTTGGGGTCTAAGATTCAGTACTTTACAGGTTTGTAAAATTCTGGGAATTTTGAGAAATGGAAACTTTCCATGGGAATTAATGGGAACATACAGGAATTTGCAGGAATATATTGGAATTAATGGGAATAAACTGGACATTTGTAGCCCATTGTTGACTATAACAGGGAACTTAAATGTAGCTGAAAAACAAAACATCTTGATGGCACTAATAATGATATCATTGTGTAAACACGTCCTTGTGAGTAATTATAAAATTATAAAAAAATATAACGTAGTTATATTAAAAACACCCCAAAATAAGCATCTGCATCAAAATGCACTGCTTAAAAGTCACATTCAATATTTTATTATTCATCCAGTTTACTTTCTTTGCCATATCTGACAGTTCTCGCAAAGTTCCATATTCCACAGTTCAATATCTCCAAAATTGCCCGGTTTAACTTCCCATGGAAAGTTTCTGTAATCAGTGGCTGTAATCAGGGAGTCACTGGTTCAAATCCTAGAGCAAGCAGACTGATGCCACTGTCGGGCCCCTAAGCAAGGCCCTTAACCCCTCCACCCCTAATTCGAGAGGCACTAAATACTGGCTGACCATATGTCTGTGTGTCTCATGGAGAGTAAGATGGAATATCTTTCAAAAGAGACTGCCAATTCTAGAGACAGCAACATCAGTGGCCACCATGAAAACAATGGGCCGGAACGAGAAAGGCACACATTCTGGAAATATTATTGCCGGCCCCTCATTTTATACTGCCCCACCCCCACCCAATTACTCTTGCTCTCCCTCACATGTATTTTGCTTTATACTATCAAAGCCTAACTGGGGGGGGGGTCCCATTCTGGAAGAGATTTGCACCTAAGTGTCAAGTGACATAGTGCTTTAAACAACTTGATAGCATTCAGTCAGCGGGCCAGAAGAAAGGTGGGGGGGGGGGGGGGGGGGGGGGGGGGGGGGTGAGAGCGTGAGAGGGTGGGGCAGGATGATACAGGGACAGGAAGGGGGCAGGGAAGTCTAACTGTTACCTGTGTCAGAACAAGGACAATATAGGTAGACCAATCATAAAACCCCTTTGCAATGAACTGGGGAAGTGAGCTGGGGGCAGACAGGCAGAAACAGGGGCCTGTACAATGCAGAAGAGACAAAAGAGTATCGGGGAGCAAAAGGTGCTATGATAATAGCTGTGAGATCAGCTTTCATATATGACCGGCTCATTCTTCACCTTACAAAAGTGAGCTCTTAATGGATGGGTTGTTTTCTCAAACAGGAACACCCATGTCTATATAAAATAAGGGCCTGTTCTGTTTAATAAAGCTGGAATTTAGTGATTATTGAACGCCTTGCTTAGTTAATGATGATTATCAAGCAACACCAAGGAAACACGTGCCAAATTTTCATGCCTAGGATTTTCAGACTGAGTAGATTAATTTTTTAACGCGATTATATACGTAACTGAGAACACGCAATAGATTCAAATTTCAGTGTAATTCACGTCAGGACCCTAATTTTTCTAATAATTCATTACATGTCAAAAAACGAGTTAAATCCACTTACCAAAAACTAAATAAAGTTAGAATGCTAAAATGTTATGTTGGTTTGTTCAAATACGTTCACATTTATAAACAAATAGCTACTGCAATGGGAGTTGTATTACTCACCGTTTCTGTTTTATTTGCTGCCTTTGTTTTCTCACTTTCTGTGACCCCTGGGCCACCGGTACCGTTGCTGTAGTTTGGGTTCTTCTCCAGTTTGTCTACTTTGATCAACCTGCTTGTGTAGGAATTCGCCAAAGTCGAACTTTTGGGTGACCGCTGCTCTTCGGCCGCTGCCTCAGTTTTGTTCTTGCGACTTTTGCCCGGAATCAGACTGTCCCATACTCTCCCGTCCTTGACCGAACCGGTGGTCCCATTTCGTCCCAGCTCGATTGCCGAATTTTTCCGATTTCTCCCGGACAGCAGCGAACCCACCCCGCCACCGTCACTCTCGGAGGTTTTGCGCAGACTACCTTTATTGCCGCCGGTTCTAATTACTGTACCGACCGTAACTCCTGGCTTTGTTCGTGTTGTTTGAGACCCCGATTCGGAAGACAAGCGGATCCTATCGGTTCCGTTCCTCAGGGTAATGGGGAAATCTCTGAACCACTTTGCCATAGCTACTTATTTTCTAATAATATGTGTGTGAAAATCTCCCAATGCCATATACGCATCGATTTCAATTAAAACTACAATTTGCGAACTCAACTGCGAATTCAACGTCTTATTACACATTCAGTCAGAGATTCAGAATATTTCTTCGGGTCTTCTGTCATTAATGACATCGCATAAATGTTACACTTTTGTTCGATGTTTTTAACTCTTTCATTCTTATTTAATTACGATCGCCGGCAACAAAACATATTTTACTCAAACTTAGTCTTCACTATTCCTCGTCATACACAAGTTTTACCCTTTTACCTATCCGCCCAATGTACCTACAACTGCATTACCTCATTAGTGTCGACTTTTAGGTTATTATTTTATCCCATCTCCCGTTTTTCATTTACCTCTTTCGGAAACTATTCTCGCAGAATAAAGAGTTGCCTTTGCAGTGGATACACTCGGAAAAATTTAAAGTTCTTCTTAATTCTCACTGAAGATCCCATTCCCGGAGCGTCCAGACTAAGCGCCTACCCTGCTCTGAGTTAGCATTGCATGGACTGGGGTCCGAGGCATAGGTGGGAAGGCGGGGGAGGGGAGGACGCTGTAAAGATGGGGCTGGGGGGGAGGGTGACTGGGGAAGAGGGGAGTGTCATCTGTGCAGTTACTCATACGATAAATTAAACAACTGTGGGTATAACATTATCTTTCATAAACGCTTTATCCATTTTTAAACACTGAAACCACGCAATTAGGTCTACTAGACAACTTAAAAAGGAGCCATTGATGTATTCCTAATACATTTCGTTTTTAATTTATCTATAATACGTAAAAACAATGTAACCATTAAATTTAGTTTATCTGTACATTACATGTGTCTTCTGGGTGTTGTTAAACTGCAAATGATAATAATAATAATAATAATAATAATAATAATAATAATAATAATAATAATAACCTTATCCAAACAATTACAGTATTATTACAATTATAATTATAGTATTCGACACGTATAATACTATACGTGTATTATCACTATACTACGGAGTGGTTACTCGTTAAATGTCCCTTTCGTAGTAATCAGAAATGCAGGCGTTTTGTAGTACGCCTGAGTTAAGAAGGCGCACACAAAAGAAACGTTTTTAATTTCACCGATAAACTTCCTCTGTCTATTGCCAGATCCTGACACACACTTCGTATTATTCTGTATGTTTTCTGTTTTCAGCCTTGACCACGAGCCATTCGGTGACACACCTCTCTTTAAAGCTTAACTCCCATCATTGTTCTTACTGGTTTACTGGATTGCTTGTCTTACGAGGCAGGAATCGCGGCTCTGTTAAAACTATTTCCTGAGGAAAAATAAAGTTTTCTTGATCTTAATTATTGTCCGAGTTAATCCTTTCTAAGTATTCACCCAATTTAATTAATTAAGCCATTACAGCTCCTTTATTCAAAGTTAATATATTAAACTGTGACATCAATTCACACAAGAAATGCATGCTGTCCAAGGCTGACCTAACCATCTGGCTTACCGTGTATATTCCCAGAAGGACCCCCCCCCACTGGCAAAATCCCGGGCCCATTTTTAATTGCAGTCCAACTCTGCTAATATCATCTACCAAAGGTCAACACCAAGGCAGATTCTGATGGACAGTTTTCATTACAAACATGATTTCTAAAAATGCTCACATAGTCAGTTTTTTTTTTAACCACAGACCACTTGCACACAAGTCATACCACAGACACAGTTGACAATCCCTATCATTTAGAACACTGTAATGTCTGAAAAAGAGCAACAAAAAAAATCAGGATGATCTACTGCAAACTGCTGGGAGTTGAATGGTGGAGGGAGCACATGAATTTAGGGATTCATTTAGAAACTGTGGGGGAGCGACCAAAAGTTTTGATGAACACTGTGCAGCAGGCAGTATAGTACATGGTATTTCTCCCAGATAGAAGTTCACTGCATGCCCTAAGGATAAGACACACATATGCAGGTCTTCTTATTTCGACATTCATTAGCTCACTACCTGCAACCATTATGAGTTTGAGGTCAGAACTGAATTCCTCCCCCAGGTTAAGAGGGAGCAGCCGGATGTTAAATAACAAATTACCCAGATGGTGTAACCTGGGGTGCTTGAAGAGAAGTGGAGGAGCAGCAAAGGCCACAGAAGACACCATGTCCTTCCTCCTGCAGTTGGACGGCTGGGGATTACAGTGCAACACTGGCGATGCATTTGCTGCTGATGCCGTGGTTAGTTACAGACATAACAATTACAGACAGTTACAGATGTAACATCACTGGGCTATAGAAAAGGAACACAATCACTCCCCAAGTCACTCAAGTAGCTGCACTGGAGTTCTCATTATGAATAACCAGATGGTTTGCCAGTCTGCAGTTACCACTGGAGCAGCATCAGGGTGCAAATTGGTACAGACAACTGGTTGCCTTGTGTGGGGCAGTAGCTGGGTTATTTAGGTTGTTTATGATTTTGGAAATCACAGTTAGCTTATTTCTTGCAGCGTGTGCAGCTGCTTTGCTTGTTGTACCTGTTTAGACACTGCGTTATCACTGGGGACCTGTCTGCAGTGCATTGTCAGAATAAAAGTGCCACTTTGTACCTTTGAGGGTTCAATTACCTGTCTCTGGGGCTGAACCCTCAAGGGTCTGCCAATTGTACTCTAGCTTTAGGTTTAACAAACCATTTAAGGTATAGAAATAGATTCTGAGGAACATTTTTGTACCGTTGAGGGTACTTTAACGTGTTTGTACTTTGGGGAACAAAACTGTACCAGGGCTGTACCCTTTTTTGTGACAGTGGGGACATTTTCTGCACTGTACTTAGTGGTTTGTCATTGCTGATGCCTTTTGCCGGTGCTGCTGTATATGCTGCTGTGCTTCTTCGTCGGTATGTCTTTGCATGTTCTGACCAGCCATGTCCTTCGCGTTCCTGCCCACATATTCGGTGCATCGACAGTGTTCAAGATGGAGCCCAATGGCTGTGTGACATTGTGGATGCGGGTAATGAACCGTGACATCATGGCCACGGTCTACAATATACCAGCTAACACAGACTTGTTTTGAGAACTTGCGTACTGATGGACTTTAACTAAGATAGCAGGTTAGGTTTAAGCAGGGTCATTTTTGTTGTTTCCTATACTGTTATTATGCCCTGGGGGGGGGGGGGGCAGACAGTTGACCTTGGACTACCAGAGGTTTTTTTCTCCCTACTATGGAGTTACTGGTTCCACTCCCCTGTTATCTTCTGCTATTCTTTCTTTCCTACTTCCCTGTTTCAGGTACACTATTTTGAATAAATCAATGTTTTTCAACCCTCAGGCACCGCTAGACAATCCACAAATTTGTTGTCTCACCGCTCCCAGGCAATTAAGAAAATTAAATATCTGATGCAGGTGATTTGGGAGCTGGGAGGGAGCAAAGATGTGGACCATCTGTGGGCCCCCAAGGACTGAGTTGAGAAACACTCCTATAAATGATGTAGTAATGAACTGCCACACACTCTTGTCAAGTGCCATTGGGTGACTCTGTTGTGAAAGGCACTATATAAAATTAAATTGGATTGAATAATTCTGCTGAACTGTGGTTCCCCCTTGTGGCTCACAAAGGGAATTGCGTACATAAATCCATCCACCCTTATTCTGGTTGTCCAAAACAGAGTAGTGGGTGTGCAACAGAGAACTATAGTAACATATGATTAATAAAGAAAATTAACACAGAACTGGAGTGAACTAGGGACTATGACAAAGCAATAGCAATAAATAAAAACCAGTATGTATAGAGTATTTATGCATCCGTCTTAACTGTTATGTACTATAAAAAAAACAATGGAACCATCTCATCATTCATATTAGATGAACTATAATGTCACTGGTGAGATGGTTCCTTTAACTGGTACAATACATTATCACCTAGTGCTTGTCTTTGACAGATTCAGCTTAAAGCACAGTAGCCAATCCAAAATGGCAGACATGGACATGTGACTTAAATCAGAGCGAGTTTAAAAACACTGATAGACTCCCTGCAGGTGGGGGTGATCACTGATTGGAGTCAGATGGAGGTGGGCATGGCCATGAAGGACGGCCACACCTGCAGCAGGTAACTCATGAACTCTATTGGATGTGACACATTCTTTCTCCATGTCTGGTGTTTTCCCTCAAACCAGTCGGTTGAATGGTTTTCTCTAAATCAAGGTTTCCTCAGTTCTGGTCCTGGAAGGCCAGAATCCAACACAGCCTGCAAATTTCCCTGTTTAAACGCATGTTTTACACTGGGTTAGCTGATAAGATGTGTTTGTGTTGGATTCAAATTGTGTTGGATTCTGGTTCCCCAGGACTAGAACTGGGGAACCCTGCTCTAAATTGACTATTGTCATAAATTTTTTTTAAAACATTGGATTTCCCCTTAAACCCATCCATCCGTCCATCTTCCGATCCTATTCAGGGTCAAAGCGGGTCTGGAGTCTATGGGTGCAAGGGGGGGCAACCCAGGATGGGGTGCCGACCCATCGGAGGGAACAACCCAGGATGGGGTGCCGACCCAACGGAGGGAACAACCCAGGATGGGGTGCCGACCCATCGGAGGGAACAACCCAGGATGGGGTGCCGACCCAACGGAGGGAACAACCCAGGATGGGGTGCCGACCCATCGGAGGGAACAACCCAGGATGGGGTGCCGACCCA